GGGAGGGGGGAGGCAGGAGCAGGGAGGGGTGTGGTGTCTCCTGTTACCCCTCCAGCAAATTCCCCCAAAGTGACTGCTTTACTTGACAATGTAACAGACTCACCCAGCAGTGATAGGAGGAAGTTCGTTGAGGTAGTGTGAATCAGGCCTAGAAAAGATGGCCCTTGGGAGCCTTTTTTTAATCCCTTGGGCCCCTCCCTGGCCAGCAGGTAAGATTCCCCCCCACCCCAGGGGGGGAATCAGCCACCCCTCTAGTCCAGACATTCATTTCTGCTGTCTCCACAGTGTTTTCTTGAAGAAGAGCCCGTTTCTTTCAGTTGTTAAAGTCACGTTTTGTAAACTTGGGATTTAAAACAGGTTTCCATTTTAGAAAGGTTTTGATAGGATCATTTTTTTTTTCTGGACTCATATTTTGTGAGCTGTATTATTATTATCATTTTGCTCTGGTTCACAGGTATCTTCTGGGCTTTTTGGCAAGAACAGGAACCTAGCCCTGCAACTGGCTCCTTCACCAGGCCAGAAGTGAAACTCTGAGTCCCTGAGGCTCAAAAGTAATATTTTCTTCTGGGTTGCCCGCCATCCACGCTTCTTACTCTCTGGGAAAGTTTGTTCAACCAACTAGGATTTTACCTAATCCGGGTATCAGCCAGCCCACGTATTTTCAGCCTGTTCACAAGATCAGACAATGTTGTCAGTTCCAGGGACACTTGACCGCTGTGAGCGGTGGCCCGTTTACCAGGGCAGAAAAGCAGTGTGGCTTCTCGGGGCACCTGGGAGGCTCGGTCGGTTAAGGGTCCGACTCTTGATTTCATCTCAGGCCACGATCTCATGGTCTGTGAGATCTAAGCCCCAGGTCGGGTTCTGCACTGGCATCAGGGAGCCTGCATGGGATTCTGTCTCTCTGCCTCTCTCTGCCCTTCCCCTCCTCGCACGTGCGTGCTCTCTCTCTCTCTCTCTCTCAAAAATAAATAATGAAACTTTTCAAAAAGAAGAAAAGCAGTGTGATTTCTCAGACTGTCACCTAGCTGTCGGCGTGCCTGGTTCCTGCACCCAGTGAGACCAGAGGTCCAAGAGCCTGCGGTGTTTGTCTGGTTCATGCTTGAATTCTCCCACAGCCCTGAGTACGTCAGGGGGGCCCTGCCTCCTCTCCAGACCCGCCTCTTACCTCCCTCTTTAACACACGGGTGTGGACCTCACTGTGCTCTCACAAATCCGTGTCTTCGGGTTCATCCTCTGTCAGGCTAAGATGTCCTTTCTCTCCCTTCCCTGGACTCCCTATTAATCCGGGGTCAGAATTCTATTCACCTCTTGCCTCCAGGGCACGGTCCTGCCCCTCCCACCTCACCCTCGCCCTCACCTTCACCAGGGCCCTGGTCACACCTCACTGTAATGACACCTTCACACACTCCAGGAAGACTTCCTTGAGGGCATACAGTGTCCTTCCTGCCTCTCCAGTGCCAGCCCAGCGCCGGACTCTTGGTAGGGCCTCGACTAGCACCCTTCTCCCTCCCTATTTGCTTTCACCTATTTCAAAGGACAGGCAAATGCTGCAAAGTGCTACCAGGTGGGTATTGTCCCGGCTTCCTGCAGAGCGAGAGGCCTGGGCCTCCCTGAGCTTCGATTCCACCTTCTGCCTTCCAATTCCAGGGGCCTGGGATGGTTTGGGGCCTCAGCCCTTCTCTGTCTGGAGAGGGCGTGAGAAGTACTTGGCCGAGTCCCCGGGGAGAGCCCCGGGCCAGCTGCACAGGGACTGTCTGTTCCTTCATTCACTTTCCGTGGGCCTGACCCTGAAACACAGGGAAATCCGTTGCCCTGTATGTATCTTCCCAGTCAGTCTCCAGAAGCTGTATTACAGAAGTCGGAGGAATTGGGGCTATGGTTTTGGCCCTGAACCTCAGGCCTGTTTGAAGGTGGGACTGCTTGGGAGACCTCAGGTCACGGACCTTCTTCCAGGGGCGCCAGGGCTTGGGCCCTCAGGGACTAGAGCGGATCAGTTGCCTGCCTGAGGAGCTCTGTGGGGACTGGTCCCCAACCTCAATACCTCCTTCCCAGGCCCCAAGGGGCTCTGTCTCCTGCATAGAAACGTCACCAAGATGGGGCATCCGGGTGGCTCAGTTGGTTAAGCATCGGCTTTGGCTCAGGTCACCATCTCGTGGTTTGTGAGTTCAAGCCACATGTTGGGCACCATGCTGAGAGTGGGGAACCTGCTTGGGATTCCCTCTCTCCCCCTCTATATCTCAAAATAAAACAAGGAAGGAAGGAAGGAAGGAAGGAAGGAAGGAAGGAAGGAAGGAAGAGAAAAGCGTGCCTGGCCCCCTGTCCTGTTTCCCAGGCTGTGTCCTTTGTCCCCACAACCCCTGTGCATCCCACTCCTCTTCACAGCCTGACATTCCTTCTCTTGGAAGTCCCTTTGGAGATCAGCATCCTTCTCACTGAGAGGGGAAGGTGAGATCTGGAGGAAGGTCAGGAATGTTGGTCCCTAGTCCCTCAGACTCCTCTTCCCATGGTCCCCAGGGGCATAGTCCTGTCCCCACCTCCACAGCCACGTCTCTGGTAAGAGCCCCATTGGCTGCCCCTATGCCTGCCCCTATGCAGAGTTTCCTTGTAAAAACGGACCGAGTCTGGATGCTGAACAGAATGTCCCAAGCGAGTGGCAGAGCAGAGCCCCGAGCTCCTGCAGTCTTCCCCAGCGCTGTCACCCTATCCTACACCACCTCCTCCAAGTCACTTTCGACCCTCGACCCTCATCACCTGTCACCTGGACAGCTTCCTGTTCCCCTCCCTAATGCTTCCCCACCTGCCCCGCGTGGCGGCTGCATTGAGTGACACCCACAAGATCCGACGTGGGAGGGTGACCAACATAGTGGTTCAGCAGGCCCGGGGGAGGGTGGGGAACGTGGACGGCTTGAGGGGATCGGGAAGGAACAAGAGAATCAGCTTAAGGTCCTTTGCTTACAGGTGTGCGTGGAAGGGGTGGGCAGGAGCCGGGGACAAAGGTCCAGAGAGAAGGTCTGAGACATGGGGATCTTTAGGGGAGGACAGGACAATAAGACCAACCGCAGACAGCGGTCAGGGGTCCAGACTTCAGCTACTGGTCCAGCCGAGTTGTTGTGCCCCTGGGTCAGGCGTCAGAGGCCCTGAGCAGCTAGCGTCAGGCAGATAGGGAGGTGACTGAGGGTCATCGGGCTCGCCTCAGCCCCAGATAGGACAGCTGGAACAGAAGGAAGTTCAGGGAAGCAGGTTTGGCCCGGAATCATCCAGCCAAGGACCAAAGGCCGGCTCCTCCAGAGTGGCGGTCACCTGATTTGACTTTATTGCCGGATAATCTTCCCTCGGGGAGTATGGCCCTTGGGACACCCACCCGGTGGCCCCCTGGGAGGAGAAGCACGGTGGGGGGGGGGG